CGCAGCTGGATGTGCTTCGCTCTGCCCTCGAGTCGAGGCTCCTGACACAGGAGAATCATGGCCCTGTTGTCAGCGTACAGGACCGGGGCAGAGCTAGGCCGCTCACCTAAGTCAGTGAGCAAGAAGGTCAGCCAGCGGAGCTCCTGTGCCGCCATGGCACCGGCGTAGATCTCAGCCTCACAGCTGGACTGGGCAACAGACGAGGAGCGGGTAGCTCTCCACGAGACAGCACCTGAGCCAAGGCTAAAGCAGTAGCCCTGGGAAGACCTGAGCGTCTCGGCGTCGTCTGCCCAAGAAGCGTCTGTGTGTCCAGTAAGGACCACTGGCCTGCGTCCGCCTAGCACTAACCCCATGCCCGATGTACTTGCAAGATAACGCAAAACCCTCTTAGCGGCAGACCAGTGCTGAGGTCGGTGTCTGCCTGTGGCCACAAAACGAGCCAGGATGCTGAGAGGGTATGCGAGATCTGGGCGAGTGCAAGTCATCAGGTACATGAGGCAACCCACTAGCTCAGCGTAAGGACCACTGGGATCTACCGACTCCTCAGGAACTGGAGCGGAGAGTCTGTGGTCCAGAGGAAGAGGGGTGGGCTGTGCGGAGGAGAACTGAAGGCCGAACCTCTGAAGGACCTGGCGCACCAAGTGTGACTGAGTCAGGGTGATGGTGCGCGCGGCTCTGTCCCTGGAGATCTGCAAGCCAAGGTAACGGCGCAGCTCTCCAAGGTCAGTGCAGGTGTGTCTCTTCAGCAGCTCTGCCTTCACGGAGGCCAGTGCGTCCCTGTCAGCTGTGGCAAAGACCAGGTCGTCTACGTAGACGAGGATGTAGAACGGAGTCGAGCCAGCACGAATGAAGAGCGAGGGGTCTGCAGAGGACGGAAAGAACTGCAGGTCAGCAAGGGTAGCACGCAGCGTGTCGTGCCACTCACGAGGCGCCTGGCGCAGGCCGTAGACTGGGCGCCGCAGAAGCCACTGGGTCCCAAGGGGGAAGGTGCCAGTAAAGCCCTGAGGACGACGCAGGTAGACCTGCTCGTGAAGGCTGCCCTGAAGAAAGGCAGTGGAGAAGTCGAGGGAGTGAAGCTCGTAGTCACGCTGAGCCGCTACGTGTAGCAGAACCCGAAGAGTAGTCATCTTCGGGGTAGGAGCGAAAGTCTGAAAGAAGTCCACCCCCTCGCGCTGACTGAAGCCTCTAGCCACGTAGCGCGCCTTGAACACAGGCGGCTCTCCAGGAGGGCGCTTCACCTTGAAGAGCCAACGGCCATCGACCACGTTCACTCCAGGTGGGGGAACTGCGTCGACGAAGGTGCCGGTGGATCTCCAAGATGCCATCTCCTGCTCCATGGCAGCTATCCACTGAGAGGCCCAGGGTCCCAAAGTCGCCTCAGCGTAAGTGCGAGGGGTCGGGATGTCGAAAGCGTCTGGGTCACCCTCAGGGACTAGCAGCATGGAACAGAGATGGGGAGCAGCCTCGGACAGGAAAGCAAGCTCAAACTGGCGGTCCTCCAGGACGTCACTGCCGAGGGCAGGAGCACCCCCGACAGACGGAGGACAGGCAGGGTCAGAGACCAGAGCGGAGGCGTAGTCAAGGCGGCGGGTAGAGGCGAAGTCAGCGACCGCAGCGACAAGGGCGTCAAGACTCGACACTGGAACAGACGGGTCGGTAATGAGAGAGGCAAGGACCTGAGGAACAAGAGGACGAGCGGCACGAAAGTAGTCAGACAGAGGAGGAGACGCAACGACAAGAGAGGACGGAGGAGGAGACGGGAGGAGGGGAGGACGAGACGCGTGGGAGCGGAGCAACATAGGGTGAGTGCGCGGGACGGGGGAGACAGGACGAGCACGGGAGGGGCGGCGAGACCAGACGTGAGAGGGCGGCGTCGGGTCAGGAGACAGAGGAGGGGACACGGGTGGGGAACGAGGGGGAAAACGAGCCGGGGACGAGTCCGGCGGAGGGAACACGGGGCCGTAGACGGGAAGAGGGGGAGACGGCCGGAGAGGAACAGGCGCAGGGTCAGGGGACGGAAGGCCGAGCAGACGGAGGGCGGACACCGGCGGGGACTGCTGCTGCGGCGACACAACACCAACGCCAGGGCCACAAGCTGCGCGACGGCTACCTCCCGAACCCTCCACACCGGCACCCCCAGAAGGGACACCCCCAGAGCCCGAAACACCGCCAGCACCGGTACCACCCCCAGGACCGCCGGGACAAGCCACGACAGGAGCCCCGGGACTAGTACCCACCTCAACTCCAGCACCCCCAGAGTCCACAAACAGCGGCAGCGACGACGGCGGCGGCGGCGGCGGCGGCTGCAGCGACGGCCTCGACGGCGGCGGCGGCGGAGACGACGGCTGCAGCAGCTGCGGCGACGGCGGCTGCGGAGGCGGTGGAGGAGGAGACACCGGGGGAGGGACAGACGGCGAGGACTGCGCCAAAGGACTACCAGAGTCAGAAGACTCGTCGACCGGAACGACCGACGGGAGGGGGGTGACGTGAGACACACCAGAGGGGGCCGGACGGGGGGGCGGGGGGGGGGGGAGGGGCAGGGGCCACCAGGGAGGGAGGAACCAGGAACAGGGGGGGAGTAACCGGGGGACCACGGTGGGGAAAGCGACGGTAGAAGGAGACGGACTCGTCAAAGGTGACGTCGCGAGAGTGAAAGAAACGGTGAGACGGCGGGTGGTAGAAGTGCCAGTCGGACGCGTCAAGGGGGAAACCGAGGAAGACGCAGGGGAGGGTGCGGGCAGTGAGCTTGTCCGTGCCAGAGGCACGAACGTGAGCAAGGCAGCCCCAGACGTGGAACGCAGACGCGTCACCAGGGGACCCGGTCCACAGAAGGGTCGGCGAAACCGGCGGCCGCTGGGGGTGCGGCCACAGGTTAAGCTGGTGAGCGGCGTAGCGCACGGCGAACGGCCACAGAAAATGGGGTGCACCGGCGTGGATCATGGAGGTGCGAGCCACCTCCATGACCAAACCGATGCGTCGCTCAGCGACCCCATTCTGCTGCGGGGAGTCCGGCAGGGTAAACGTCTGGGTGATGCCCTCCGCACGACAGAAGCGACCAAGGACACCTGAGGCAAACTCGCCACCCCGGTCGGAGTGGAGGCGCAAGGCAGGGAGACCGCGGTGGAGACGAGCAGAGACAAGCCAGCGGATGAGAACGTCAGGCCAGGAAAGAGCAGGGGGAGGATCAGGCGACCCACGGAGGCAGCAGGAGGGGTAGAATAGCGCTTGATGACAGCATCGAGGTAGGCCTGGGCGGTAGTAATGGTTCTAAAGCGAGGGCGCTCAAGGGGGGGGAGGGCATTGCTAATGGCGAGCTGAGCAAGGGCATCGCGGGAAAGCCAGACAGAGCGGGCAAGGGCAGCGGCGGCAGTGGACTCGCGCTCAGCGGGCGTGGGATCAGCGGGCAGCACAGCAGGGGGGTCAGGGCAGGGGAGCATACCGTCTAGGTGTGCAGAAAGCGGGTGGCTGTCCTGCCGCTGACCAGTGAGGTGGCGGCGAAGGTCAGCCAACCACGCCTCGAACTCCAGAGGCTGACCCTCAGCATCAAAACGAAGCTCAGCAGCCATGAGGGGCAGTGGAGGACAGTGGAGTGCGGTGTAGTGCTGTGCAATGCGGTGCAGGGCGGTGCAGTGCGGTCCAGTGCGGTGCAGTGCGATGCAGTGCGGTGCAGTGCGGTCCAGTGCGGTGCAGTGCGGTTAGTGCGGTTCAGTGAGGTGCAATGCGGTGCAAGGCGGGGCAGGGAAGTGCAGGAGGGTGCAAAGTGGTGCGGGGAACGGGGGACAGTACCAGGAAGTATGGAGGGCCGGGGCAGGCGCGACGGGACAGGGCAGGCGCGACGGGGCCGGGCAGGCGCGACGGGGCCGGGCAGGCAGCGACGAGGCCGGGCGGCTGCGACGGGGCCGGGCGGCAGCGACGGGGCCGGGCGGCTGCGACGGGGCCGGGCGGCTGCGACGGGGCCGGGCGGCTGCGACGGGGCCGGGCGGCAGCGACGGGGCCGGGCGGCAGCGACAAGGCCGGGCGGCAGCGACGGGGCCGGGCAGGACACAGCAGGGCCGGGCGGGGGCGACGGGGCCGGGCGGGCGCGACGGGGCCGGGCAGGTGCGACAGGGGCCGGGCAGCTGCGACAGGGGCCGGGCGGGCGCCACGGGGCCGAGAGGCCGCGACAGGGCCGAGTTGGGGCGACGGGGCCGAGCAGGGGCGACGGGGCCGAGCAGGGGCGACGGGGCCGAGCAGGGGTGACGGGGCCCAGGAGGGTGGATACGGGGCCCAGGGAGGAGCGCGGCAGGGCCCAGGAGGGGCGCAACAGGCCCAGGAGGGGCGCTACGAGGCCAGGAGGGGCGCAATGGGGGCCCAGGAGGGGCGCGGCGGGGCCCAGGAGGGGCGCAATGGGGGGAGGGGCCCAGGAGGGGCGCGAGAGGCCCAGGAAGGGGCGCGACGGGCCTAGGGACGGTCGCGACGGGGCCCAGGAGGGTGGATACGGGGCCCAGGGAGGGGCGCAATGGGGGCCCAGGAGGGGCACTACGGGCCTAGGAGGGGCGCGACGGGGCGCTACGGGGCCTGGGAGGAGCGCGACGGGGCCCAGGAGGGGCGCTAGGGGGCCTGGGAGGAGCGCGACGGGGCCTGGGAGGGGCGCGACGGGGCCCAGGAGGGGCGCTAGGGGGCATGAGCGGAAGCGGGAGGTGGGGGGGATCCTACCTACGCGTGATACCATAACAGAATTAGAATTGAATAATGAGAGAGAGAGTACACAAACATATACCTAAATGTTGTACTCTCTAGAAGGTGACCCTATACAGTCTATACAAACATGATAACTACACATGTTTGACAAGAATGACTAGAATGTGAGAGTACAAGGCATTATAACCTAGGGGGCTGTACTCTCTAAGGCACAACCCTAAATGGTCTACATCACCCACAAATGTGTTTGACATGCGTGGCCGGGACCACAGCTCGAGGAGCACGAGGGATCGCCTGGGGAAAGGTCAATAGCAGGGAGGTGTATTACAAAATCGATACCGAAATATGTGTTGATGTGGTACACCATCCCATTTCCATTATAATAGCATAATACCTTTCGCTACCTTTCATAATTCCCTTCATCCGAGGTCTGCACTACAGGGAGGTGTTACATGCCATGATAGATTTCTAGAAGCCTTGGTGAATCACCGGCTTGCGTTAGCCCCCTTGCTCTCTTCCTTCCTCCTAGCTTCCCAAACCTCTCCCACCATCAGAGCCTTTTTCCAGTCCTCTTCACTGACCTCCCATCTCCTTTTAAACCGAGCAGGAGAGCTGCTGAAGAGGCAAGGCAGAGACAGCACCTTAGCGGCGTGTGGATCCTTTCTCGTAACCAAGAAATACCGCGGCACGAGCACTCGCGGCAGGCTTCGCAGCAAAACCGTCGGCCAAACCCTAATATCCTCCTTAGTTCTCTTCATCTCCTCCAGGATAAAATCAATCTTCGCTCGGATTGTACCCTGCCGTACCTGTATAATCCCAGGGTCGCGCTGAATCATGTCTACAGTGACTTCCTCTCCAAAAATGTCGATAAGAGCGAACATGGCCTCTTCTACCGTGCGAGGAGACGCAGTGAGCAGGGCTGGGTGGCGAGAGAGCACGTAGGAGGTGCCTGGCTTTCCAAAGAGAGTGGTCAGTGTGGTTACCACCTCCTGCATGGTTACCCGATTGGCATGGAGTATGTGTGGCTGCTTGTGCACCAGGGAGAGGAAAGCTGGGCTGGCTGTCAGAGGGGGTGGGGAAGAGAGAGGAGGGATTGGAAGAAGAGGGGAAGAGTTCCATTTCATCTCCCTTAGCTTTTCCCTCCCTTTTCTCTTCCCTTCTCCTTCTCCTCCTCCCATTCCCCTTTCGCCTCCTCCCCCCTCCTCTCCTTCTGTCAGCTGCACAATTTCAGCCAACCGCGAGAGTTTCTGTGCCAGAATTTCAGGGGAGAAGCGGAGGGCGAGAGGGTAGCGGAAGAGGAGGGAGTGAGGGGGGCAGAGAAGGGAGCAGATTCCACAGAGGTGGAGGAGGAGGGTGGGGAGGGGGGTGCGGAAGACACGGCATGAGGCTGAGTGGATGAGCGTGGTGACGGTGGGGGGGGGGAGGTGGAGGAAGAGGAAATGGAGGACCTGCTGCACGTGAGGGAGATGGGAGGGCGGGAAGTGGGAGGGAGGGAAGCAGGGAGAATGGTTATGGGTGTTAGAGAGAGGTGTAAGTGAGTGTCGTTGCGGTTGGTGCTTCGGATCAAGGGGCGGTTGATGAGAGCAAAGAGGTTGGTCTAGAGTGCTGCTTGTCTCGCTGCTGTCACTGCTGCTGCTGCTGCTGCTGCTGCTGTCACTGCTGCTGCTGTCACCACCTCTATCACTACTGCCATTGCTGCTGACCTCGTCCAGCCGGGCATCCAGAATCAGCTCCGGCACCCGCTGAATAACACGCAGAAACAGGGGCTCGGGCAGCCCGTGAGACCAAAAAATCTCTAGCGCTGCCCGGATGCGGCGGGGCTGGGGCACGAGGAAGAGCGAGGAGCAGGCTCTGAAGATGGCAGTGAGAGCTGCCGGGGAGGGGTGGAGGGCGAGCAGGGCCATGGCGTTATCCCTGGTGGCTCGATAGCTGGCGAAGGGAGGGGAGATGGGCGCGAGGTGGGAGGAGTAGAGCTGCTGAAACTGGTGGTGCAGCGAGGGGGAGGAGGTGCCGCTGAGGTTGGGGGTGGGGGTCGCGTTGCTGGAGGAGCCGGAAGTGTCCGGCGCGCTAGCATCGTCAAAACGTTCACTGCTGACGTCATCGAGAAGCTCCGTCGACTCGGAAGCATCGCTCAAATCCTCCTCCTCCTGCTCCTCCTGCTCCTCCACCTCTTCACCACTGCCCGGACCAGCATGACCATCACTGCGACCACCTCGCCCATCACCATCACTGCCATCACAACGCCCATCCGCTACACTGCCGCGAACGCCAGCCGGGGCGGCAGTACCTGTCTCATGGCTCACTGCGCGTCTCGTCCCCTTCCTCCTCTTCCTGCTGCTGCTCTTCACCCCTGTCCCTCCACCGCCCTCCCTCTCCGCGCTTCCTACTCGCTCATTCCCCTTCCGCCCACCGCCCTCACCACCAGCACGCTCCTTCCCCCCACCTCCTTTCTTCTCAGTCCTCTCCACGAAACCTCCCTTTTCTGCCACACTGCCACGCACGGCAGGCGGGGCGGCGGTGCCATTCTCAGGGTTCACTGCGCATCTCCTCCCCTTCCTCCTCCTGCTGCTGTTCGGCCCTGTCCCTCCACCGCCCTCCCTCTCCGCAACTTCTCGTCTCTTACTCCCCTGCCTCCCACCGCCCTCTCCACCGGCTTGCTGCGGCGCCCCACTCCTCTTCCCCGCATCTCGCCTTTTCTCGGTACCCTCCACGAAACCCCGGTTTCCCGCCACATGGCCCATTCCCCTGAATCTGCCCAATCCGCAATTCATACTAATCAGCCCTGGCAACGGCAAGTCAGGCTGACTCCACAGCCTCGAATCCAATCCGAGCAGGAAGCACGCTTGCGTTACGCTGGCGCCTCTCCCTCCCATGTCGCTCCAAAAGCCCCCCCTTGTCATATCCCCGACTTGAGTTGCTGATGCTCGGAGTGATGGTGATGGTGACGGTGACGGTGATGCTCTCCTATCACCTGCTGCAGTTGCCATTGCTGCTGCAGGGGCTGAGAAAATCACCCCTCCGTCTCTTAAGTGCCTCCCTCCCCACCATGGATCCCACTTGAACGGAATAACGGGGCTTACAGAAACGGGAAGTGCTCTTCTCGAACAGCTGCTGTAACGGAGCAGCCTATAGGCGCGCAGAAACGTCTTGCTGGTGCTTCCGCCACACGGGCCACATAGACGGGAGTGATTCTCTCCGACTCCGAGCCAATGCCACACTGCTGACGTGGAAACGTGAACGCAGCCTGTCGCGATCTGCCATATCCTTTCAGACCCGCGCATTACAGCGGCGAGCGCCCACCGTACGACTGAAGCGGCGTAAGGGACCTCTCGCGAAGGGAACTATCCATGGGTGTGAGAGGCTGGTAGTATTGAGTTGACTCGGGCAAGAGTCGCCTACGAATCACGTCGAATACTGAGGCACCGTGCCTAAAAGTGACCTTGAAAGTTCGAAAGACTTAACATCGATGGCCGCCTAATTCTGATCTTGACTCGGATACGACATTTCGAAGCGACATCAACGCCGCAGTCCCGTTTCTAGACAGCCGAGCCTTCAGCCTCGCTAAGCAGAACTGACGCTGCTGCCGAGGTGTCTCGTAACGCGAGTGTATCGGTCGCGTGGGTCGCGGAGACGGATGCAAGTCTGCCGATATCCGTACCATGCGGGCTGGATCTGAGTGGAGAAGGCTTAAAGCCGTTGACCCAAATTGCAGAAATTTCGTTTCAAGATTATTAATCTTGAACCCCCCCGATTGGTAACCTTGTTCCCCAAAGCGAGAGCAGAAACCCTCGTCGCACACCAAAAGGGGGCTGAAAATTTTAACACGCATGCGCCACCCCCTGCCGATTCCGCCCCCGCCCCCGACACACACGGCGTTTGCGGGCAATGAAACTTGAAACTGCGCGCATACATTTTGGGACTTTCTGTTGTGCACAACCCAGCCCAACGTCACCACGCCCAAGGCAGCGTACGCAGCATACACAGCTTACCACCTCCGTGCACCACCGAGTGCCCAAGACACGCATACCAGGGCCTCGACGATACGCCAACGATAGACTTCCTTCCACCAAAAGTCAGACTCATGACCACTAGCCACGCCTTAGCATTCCCGTGAATGCCATGTAAGGACCGTCAAATCGCACCGTCGCTAACACCTGCATTACCCTGCGATTTCTACCCTCGGACCATAAAAAAAGGTCGCCGAAATCCGCGCCACTAACAGCCCGAGACCCTGCAGCAGAAACGCGTGCGACGAGCTCGAGCAGTGCGACGAGGGAGTTAGGGTTAGTAACATGCATGAAAGGTACCCACAGCCAATGCGGTTTCATTACTCATTCTACCTCGTGCTTTTCAGTCTGCCTAGGAGCGGAGGAACTGAGGAGCGGAGGAGGAGAGAATCGGAGGAGCAGAGGAGCGGAGGAGGAGAGGAGCGGAGGAGCAGAGGAGCGGAGTAGCAGAGGAGCGGCGGAGGAGAGGAGCGGAGTAGCAGAGGAGCGGAGCAGAAGAGGAGGGGCGGAGCAGAGAAGCGGAGGAGGAGAGGAGCGGCGGAGCAGAGGAGCGTCGGAGCAGCGGAGGGGGGGAAGAGAGGAGCGGAGGAGGCGAGGAGCGTCGGAGGAGAGGAGCAGAGGGGCAGAGGAGCGGAGGAACAGAGGAGCGGAGGAGTATGGTGAGCAGAGGGGCAGAGGAGCGGAGGAGCAGAGGAGGGGCGGAGCGGAGGAGCGGAAGAGGAGAGGAGCGGAGTAGCAGAGGAGCGGAGGAGGAGAGGAGCGGCGGAGGAGAGGAGCGGCTGAGGAGCAGAGGTGCGGAGGAGGAGAGGAGGGGCGGAGCAGAGGAGCAGAGGGGCAGAGGAGCGGGAGGAAGAGAGGAGCGGAGTAGCAGAGGAGCGGAGGAGGTGAGGAGCGGCGGAGAAGTTGAGGAGCGGAGGGGCAGAGGAGCGGAGGAGGAGAGGAGCAGAGGAGAGGAGGAGCGGAGGAGGAGAGGAGCGGAGGAGGAGAGGAGCGGCGGAGCAGAGGAGCGGCGGAGCAGAGAAGCGGAGGAGGAGAGGAGCGGAGGAGGAGAGGAGCGGAGGAGGAGAGGAGCGGAGGAGGAGAGGAGCAGAGGGGCAGAGGAGCGTCGGAGCAGAGGAGCGGGAGGCAGAGAGGAGCGGAGTAGCAGACGAGCGGAGGAGGAGAGGAGGGGCGGAGCAGAGGAGCAGAGGATGAGTGGAGCGGTGGAGCAGAGGAGCGGAGGAGGAGAGGAGGAGCGGAGCAGAGGAGCGGCGGGGCAGAGAAGCGGAGGAGGAGAGGAGCGGAGGAGGAGAGGAGCGTCGGAGAAGAGGAGCAGAGGGGCAGAGGAGCGGAGGAGCAGAGGAGCGGGAGGAACTGAGGAGCGGAGGAGCAGAGGAGCGGAGGAACAGAGGAGCGGAGGAGCAGCGGAGCGGAGGCAGAGTAGCGGAGGAGGAGAGGAGCCGAGGAGGAGAGGAGCGGAGGAGCAGAGGAGCGGAGGAGCAGAGGAGCGGAGGAACAGAGGAGCGGAGGAGCAGAGGAGCGGAGGAGCAGAGGAGCGGAGGAGGAGAGGAGCGTCGGAGGAGAGGAGCACGAGGAGGAGAGGAGCGGAGTAGCAGAGGAGCGGAGGAGGAGAGGAGCGGCGGAGGAGGAGAGGAGCGGGGGAGCGGAGGAGCGGAGGGGCAGAGGAGCGGAGGAGGAGAGGAGCGGAGGAGGAGAGGAGCGGCGGAGGAGAGGAGTGGAGGAGGAGAGGAGGGGCGGAGCAGAGGAGCGGCGGAGCAGACAAGCGGAGGAGGAGAGGAGCGGAGGAGGAGAGGAGCATCGGAGGAGAGGAGCAGAGGGGCAGAGGAGCGGAGGAGCAGAGGAGCGGGAGGAACTGAGGAGCGGAGGAGCAGAGGAGCGGAGGAGCAGAGGAGCGGAGGCAGAGTAGCGGAGGAGGAGAGGAGCGGAGGGGCAGAGGAGTGGAGGAGCAGAGGTGTGGAGGAGCAGAGGAGCGGAGGAGCAGAGGAGCGGAGGAGCAGAGGAGCGGAGGCGCAGAGGAGCGGAGGAGGAGAGGAGCGGAGGAGCAGAGGAGCGGCGGAGGAGAGGAGCGGAGGAGGAGAGGAGCGGAGGGGCAGAGGAGTGGAGGAGCAGAGGAGCGGAGGAGCAGAGGATCGGAGGAGGAGAGGAGCGGAGGAACTTGGGCTGACTGCATGGGGAATGGAGGGTGCCTGGACGTTGGAATTTGACCATTCTGCAGGGTGAACATAGGGTGGCTGGAGGGGGGATGTGGGGAGAATGGTCAAGTCAAGGGAGAATGACAGGGTGTAGGGAAGTTGGGGGAAGGTGGGAGACACGGGGAGGATGAACTCACATATACGGGAGGAGCCATGGCTTCCTACGGGTGTGTTTGGAGCTTCCCCTCTTGACTGCACTAAGAGCCGTGTTTGTTATTCTATAATTCGGCTGCCGACAACATATTACAAGTACCAGGGTCAGTGGACCTTGCACATTTTTCGGCACACCATGCCAGGTTTAGTAGGTTTGGGGAAGGCACAACCAGGAACACAAGACTCGTATGCATAAATACTCTAGGCAGAAGGGGGTTAGCTGAAACTGTGAGCCACAAGAGTGGCCATTGGACACACGTGTTGCACGGCCTCATGGCCATGTTTACTGTTTGATTACCCAACAAACATCCTAAAACCATGTTTATTGTAACACTCAACAACTCAAGACTCATATGGCAAGCGGATACCGTCCCCAACCACCGATGACCCCAGCTGTGTCACTTCCGCCTAGGATCTTGAGACGCCCAACCGTTACCACGTGCAAGTTGGGGGTGCAACCTGCCGCCCAAAGGAACCTGCCACAAGAAAACCAAGTAAAGACCCCTTGAATGAACCTCAATCCCATAAAGCATGGGCGACTGCACTAACGTTGTACGTGACGAGGCGGTCAGGCAACGCTTTACGCATGGTATCGGATTCCGAAAATTGAAGCAATGAGTTGTTTTACATCACATAACGCATGGTCAGGCAGCTGCTGGAATAAAAGCGATCGCAATTCGTGATATGATACGGCAGACTCTGGCAGGCCGTCCGACACTCAGACCCCCCCACCTAGCTCCTCCCCTCAAAGCTGTCCCCCTCACGTCCATCCCCTTCAGTGTTTTCCCCATTGTTGCTCTACCCTTCCCAACGTTGCCCCACCCAGCTCTCCCCTTCTTAGCACACCCCCTCTCAGCAATACCCCCCTTGTGCTTCTCTCAAAGCAGTCTTCACCATCTCTTAGCTCTCCCCTGCCCATCTTTGCTCCACCACTCAGCACTCCCCCTCCTAGCTCTCACCCTCCTAGCTCCCCCCCTCCTAGCTCTCACCCTCCTAGCTCTCCCACTCTCGACTCACCCACTCTCTGTTGTCCCCCTCTCATCTTTCACCCTCTCATCTTTCCCCCTCTCATCTTTCCCCCTCTCATCTTTCCCCCTCTCATCTTTCCCCCTCTCATCTTTCCCCCTCTCATCTTTCCCCCTCTCATCCTTCCCCCTCTCATCTTTCACCCTCTTAGCTTTCCCCCTCTTAGCTTTCCGCCTCTCAGCTTTCACCCACTTAGCTTTCCCCCTCTCAGCAATACCAAGAAAGGGGACAGAGGAGAGTACAGCAGTCCTGGCTTGGCCGCACAGGAAAGGAGACAGGGAAGTGTACAGCAGCTCACCTACCGCTGTTGCTCACCAGCTGTGTGACTCCGGCATTCCATCCGTTGTGGATGTGTACATCGGGTTCATAGTGCTGCTGCCTGGACTCTGACGCCTCGACCCTCCGCGTCGGGTTCATGCGGTACAGTGGCTGTGTCCGCCACGTGCGTTGCTGGTTAGTACCCGCACATGGGTTGCGACTCACCAGCTGCGTGTTTGGGCGGTAGTGGCAGCGAGGTTCTGGTGAGGCGAAGGGTTCCCGACTCCGCCTTGGGCTACAGCGCGGGCATGTGCGCGGCGCTAATGTGCTGTTCGAATGAAGATTTGCCGTGGTGGTATCAACGGTGGTCAGGCAGTTCACAATACCGTGGCAAGACGGCTCTCTCGCTTGTGGGGCGAGGGCTACGGATGTTGTAGCTGGCCGGAAGCCGTGCGTTCCAGAGTGGGTGGGAGCAGGTTTACGAGTGGTTCCATGAGCAGTCCTAATGCCTATGTCGGTCCCTTGAAAGTGCTACAACCATGTGTACGGTTGTGCTATCTCTTATCTCTCTGTTTGACCTCCCTGATTTCCTTTGCGTGAGCACCCTTTTGCTCATTGCAGCATTTTGGTCGGCTCGGGGGGTTGGTGTGGCTCTCGCGCCATGCAACATCATGTAGACCCTAACTGGACTGCGCCGCGCTTGGGCATCCCTGGTGATGCAGTCGGGCCGCTCTTCTCTCTCAAGCCTTATGTCGATGAGCGCGCGCACCATCCCACCATGTCGAGGTGGTTGAAGCGCATGCGGTGTGTGAATGCGTTGGGCAGAGCAGTGCGCATTGTCCCGTGGCGCACTCTCTCGCCGTAACGGCTGCTCGCATCGCTGCTTTCTATCCTGGTTCTATCCGTGTTGGTGTGCCGTGGCTTCCTCGTGGTTGTTTTTTGCAGTCTCATATTTCTTGGTGTCTGGTTTTCTTCTTGGTTCCCTACACTCGGGAGTTCCCTTGCAATTTTACAATTGGGCTGGTGTCGC